CTACACACCCCAGGATCATCCCGGCGTGCTACAGCCTCACAGATTCGGCGGCCAATGAGATGCATGAGATGACGCACTGGTTTATGGACGATCTGGGAGCGCCTAGTAGCAACAATGCTATTGATGAGCACACCGGATGCTCCTCTGTCATTGCCGACATCATCGCTCAGATATCCACACTTGCATTGCAGTCAAATGCCAACTCGATTTCGCGAGAGAAGATCCAGAATGTCGCCCATCATCTCGAACACCGGCTGTCTGTGATTGGCTCTACGCCGCCTGCTACTGACGACGTCTACCTCGCCAACAGCGCCGAGTCATTCCGTTACGCAGCCCACATCTATCTCCTCCTTGCGTGCTTCGACATGCCCATCAAACATGCGTCTGTGATTGACCTTCACCACATATTGATGGACTATCTCACTCTGATCATTGTAAAGGACCAGAAGAGGCGTCTGTTCCCCATGTGGCCACTCTTCATTGCGGGATGCACCTGCTCCTGTGATGAGCAGCGTAAGGCTGTCATCGACCTCTTCACAATATTGGAGGATCAATGGCCTGTGAGTAACGTCTCGGCCGTCTGGTCGGTGCTAAGGACCATCTGGCAGGCGAGAGACCTGTCCGTGGCCTGCCAACCGACAACTAAACGCCTGGACTGGCAAGACATTATCCACCGCTTTGGATGGAAGCTGTCACTCACATAAACCCCAACCCTAACCAACAAAAGTCGAATTGATTCCCTTGTCAGCCACATCATGTACCAACCGGTAAATACGTCAGGGAACTATATTAGACCCCTTTCTGGTCTCGTCCCCTTGCGATGGTTTTTTCATCTTTGTCGATACTTGTAACTACCTTGTCATCAACCCGCGATGAAAATACGCGCCTTGGCCCTTCGCAACAAGGCCAAGCGAGGACCCATTTGATCTGCCCAACACAGACAAAATCACATATGACAAAGGGTGGCATGGATCTTTCACCCTGATTGCTTGATTTCATTCTTTCTGTTTCTAAATGGGGCGCAAGCCAAAGCATCATAACAGTCGTCAATCTTTTGTGCTCAGTCGGCTTCGGTTAATGAGTGAATACACTCCCTCCCGGGGGCTCGCGAGGTCGGTGGTCGCTGGATGGATTTTTGAATTACGCGCTCAACGTTTTTGTATCGTGTTCTTGTGAAACTAGGATGGGTTTAATTGTGTATGGAAAGTCTGGTGGTTGGGAATAGTGTTATGAATGAATGAATGAAGTTTGTCAGTTGAACACCCAAAACGAACAACATCAAACCTCACGAATCTTTGTTGAACTTGAATACCAAGGACAGCCGCCCGACAAGAACGAATTTTGCCGTGGGCGTATTGAGCAGCATTTACTCCCGAGTTGGGACCTGATCATTTGTTGCGGTAGGGGTTGAAAATAAGGAGTGGCTGGAAAGCAGAAAATAAGTACAGAATATCTCCCAATGAAAATCGTGGTATCATTTGCCAATTGCCAACCGACTGATCTGAGGGGCGGGCATCCATATAGTCTGGGTATATACAGCAGCATATGCACACATATATACATGCATAAATATATATAAAGAAAGAAACCCCGCGTCCTCCATTTCGCCGTCTGCCTTTCGTCCCGGGTCTCCGCTGATTCTTCCCTCTATTTGGGGTATCGATAATGAGGAAGAGCTGAAAATAACAAAGAAAAAAAAGGGCGGGGGCTATGAGATGAATAAGGCGGAAGTAAAGTGAATAGATGGATGACCATCGCTCATCGGCCTTCTATGGCCAGGTCTTGTTTCTGCTCCGTCTGTATGAGAGCGACCCACCTATGTATGCGACGCTGTCCGATGCAAACCCAAAAATGATATGAAAGAAAAGTACAAGCGGATATCCAACTCCTGTCTAGCTTCTGTAGTGTGGCGGCGATGTGTTTTCCCTTGTGTGATGCGTTAAAATACCAAGTATGCGCTGCATCGGGCATGTTATATCTCGGCCGAGGGAGGTTTATTCATGATTCTTGAACTCCGTTTGGGTTGTTTGCCATCCGCAGCTCCAGCACCTTCTCGTCCGACGCCTTCTGCCGCTTGGTCGCCTCGTCACTCTTCTCCTTCAGAACCTCGCAGTGCGTTCTTAGCATCTCCTCTCCAATGACAAGCTCAAACCCGGCTAGGAAGCAAAAGCTGATCTCCAGCCGCGCCAGCTCTGCCTCACTCACACCGCCAACTTTGGCAACCTTGGAGTGTGGATAGGCCAAGTCCTCGAGTGCCTTGGTAGCCACGCGGAGTCCCGCCAAAACCAGGCGGTGCACGTTCCGCCTAGTGACATGGATAGCACACTGCTCAACAGCAAGCCGGTGGATATACAGCGAAGTCGCGATGTACACGGCCGTGCTCATGGGGCAGAACTGGTGCAGCCGTAAGAGGTATTGCGTGATTGTAATGGGTGGCTCGAGTTTCGAATAGAATTTGCGAGTGATGGCACTATGTTGGGTGTTTAGCGGACGCGAGTCGCCAGAGATGATGACATGCTCGGGAGCTCGAGGAGAAGGGGATTTCAGCCGCACGCCGTCGATTTCTGGCTGCTGAGTGTTTCCCTTGCGCGATCGGTCAACTGAGACATCGTCGATTTTGTCCTGTGACCTGGGTTTGTTGTGGTGAACGCGAGAATCAGCCTGCCCGGGGGCTGGGCTGGATCTTCGTGACCGTGCAATTATATCCTTCTCGGCCTGTAGTCCGCTCATCTGGGGATCGGTGGGAGACCTCGGAGGAGGCGTCGGGGGGATGTCGCCGGTGACATGGACGAGAGTTTCAAGGCTCGCGCTCAGCAGGCGCAGAGCTTCTGAGGCCGCAAGCCTGGCAAAATCTTGATCAATGGGAGGGATAGAGGGAGCCTTCGTCGTGGCCTGGTGAAGTTGAAGTGTCGGTTGGAGGAGTCTCGTTTGCGTCGTGGTTATTAAGGAGGCGCAGTCGGTCATGGCTTCGGATGTATAGGGAGTTGCTGGTAAAGAGTAGAAATGACGGGTGCAAGAAATAAGAACTACTAATAATCAAAGACGTTTTCTTTCTTCAAGAGTCAAAGTCGCTGAAAAGGCCCAGTCGCTTCGGGAACTCGATTCTGCTGGGATCAACTGAGCGAGCGCCTTTCATTGTCTCGTCGCCGACGCGGTTCCTCGTGTAAATTTGGTGTCTGTCTGGCGGTCCAGAGAGAAGTTACCGTTAAAGGCCGTTTTTCTCTAAATTTTTTTTTTTTGGTCTCCAGGGTGGTCTCTTGTGTCTCGGTCGCGTGGGGAATGGCTGTGGGAAATAGAGCCTGGAAAGACGGGGTTCATGTATGTCTTGGGAAGGAGAACGAGCTTGAAGAGACCGCAGAGAAGAAACGTGCAGAGCCAAGGTCTTAATATGAACAGTCAATTCAGCAACCCAGTTATGGAATGTTTGGGGATGGGTTGATGGGTCGTGGAGGGGTGGGAAGAGGAGGGAAAGTACCGAATTGGCATTGAAAACCTCGAGGCACCGGCCGGCAGCGACCACAGCGCCTCGCAACATGGCACGAGGGGCGGGCTAGTGGAGGCTACCTACCGCCCAAGGCGGCATAAGGGCATCACATACTGCTGCAGAGGAGCCCGCAGTAGGCTGCAGGCCCCTAAACTGCTTCAGGCAGTGAGGGGTCGTTGCCAGACCAGTGGAGCCTCGCAGCCGTCAGCCCACCATTCAGGCCCTTCGCTCGGAATTTCAATGGTGGTTCGCTTGGAGAACTGTCACCCGACGCCTTGATCGAGTCTGGACCCTCAAGGCAGCGTCTCCTAACTCGCAGGACCACCGAGAAAACGGTGGGGAGGGGAAACAAGGGCGCACATGATGATCACAACGTGATTCTCCGACATGGGGCTCTGCCTTTTGCGCTCTGGATTCCCCAAGATGTGGAGGTGGTGCTCTTCCGTCTCGGCCACCGACCAGATCACTTCTGTACGCGGAAAATCTCATCGCCAGGACAGTTTCACCAAGATCTGAGTTGAGCAGCTTCATAATTTGAGACTCTCAATTGGCGATTCACTAGGCTCGACCATCAAGGGCTTGTCAAGCCTTTCCGTTCATGTCCATGATCCTGTGGGTGGCTTCGATCGCAAGCTCCAAGGCCTGACCTCAATTCGAATCATTGAGAGTCACAATCGATGTGAGCCGCACTCAAAGGTCCATGTACAGGGATATCTCCACTACTAGAGCCGCCTCGAGGCAGCCAGTCACCTACTAGCGATCTGGCTACGAATTAATCGCTCTTGGTTCGCGTGGAAACCGCCAATCGGCGAGTCGGCTGCGTGCCCTCATCGCACAATAGCCCAAAAGACGACCAATACGCTTTGTTGAAGTGAAGTCCTCATTTATCTTTGCTTTTACCAGGACAGCCATCCCCAAAGCAGTCAGATCTGCATATCTTGTTCATGTACCTGAAAAGTGCCCGGACCCCCACTTGGAAGCAAGAATGATCTGATGGCAGGGCATCTCCAATGCCTTGGCAAGCGGAGCATCGGCATAGGGAGGGACTCGGACACCATCCAAGAAACAGAGTGAGAACTGACCTGGGTCCAAGAGCTTAAAGAATCACCCGATAAATCCCTGAAATTTCCACTGCAGGGACGGTCTAGAAGGGCTTGCACAAGACTAAGAGATGCATCCGTCTGTTCTGGAGTGCCTTCTCAAACACCAATCTCCATAATATTACTTGATGTTTACTCCACAAGGGCCGATATTCCGCCTTGCATATAGACCGCCATGTCTTCGGGAGCATCAAGTGGCCATGTTGCGTACAGAGTTGCATCGCTTCTGCACTCGCCCTTGGCTGTGCTTCTCGAAGTCTTAAGAGTGCATGATCGAGTACTCAGGGCTCTCAACAAGATGCTTGGCCTCATGACCGTACTGGCCGTCCCCTGGAGAATCTTCAAGAGCCAAAGTTTGGTAACAGTGTATTCACTTCCAGATGGGCCATGACTACCTCTGCCGACCCAAACCCGCCTCAGCAATCGGAGGAAACCTTGCAATCCACCACCGTCGTCGTGCCCGCCTGCACCGTGGCCACTGCCTCCTTGAGTACCACCTCGAGCTCCGCAGCTTTCTCCACCCTCATTGCATGGATTGCCCCCCTCCGGCGGCCTTGGCGATGCCTGCATAGTCTGGAACAGGCTCGAACGAAATGTTGATCTCCTCGTTGGTCGCCCTTGCGGCAAGGCCGTTGGGGTGGACCAGCAGCCTTGATTTGCGAGGCGCGTTCCATCCTTGATTTGCACCACCAGATTTAGTCATGTTGTCGTCGCGACCCGAAAGAATTTACTCGGTAGAGAACACATAACTTTGTTGTTGAGGACAATGGTCAACACGGGAATCTTGTACCGCTGTGAGATCCAGTACACGCTGCCCGGTACCGAGAAGAGATGCGTCCCGTCTCCTACGATCTGCACCACAAACTTGCCCTTGCCCTCGCCACCAGCTTCAGCATCACTTGCCAGCTTGATGCCCAGTGCAGCGCCACCGAACCAGCCAAGGCCGCCCCCCCCCCGCAGTTGATGAAAGACAGCGGCTTGGTGGGCCGGATGTTGTCGTGGACAAACCCGGTATTGGTCACGGCCTCATGTGCCCAAATTGTATCCCCAGGACAAATTCTACGTAGTACCTTGCTCAGGAAGCCTGTGCCGAAGCGGTCATCGCTCTGAGGCTCAGATACTTTTTCGATGCCTGCAATCTTGGCCTCAAAGGCCTCTCGCCGCTTAGCCTCGACAGAAGACTGATCCATGGCCGCCAAAGACTTGGAGGCTTTGGGATTGGCGGTGATTTGCTCGACTGAAGTGAGGGCGTCGGCCTTGTAGCGAGTCTTAGCCTGGATATAGAAATGGGGCATTAACTCCTTCAGCGGATCAACGTCAATATGGAAGATCTTTGCATCGATTCTTGGCTTACACAGTATTGGGATCCACGGCACATCACAGTTCAGCACTAAAATCACGTCTGCCTTGGTTATCTCTTCGTGTGAGCCATATCGAAGACCGAGCCAGGCTGGGTGATTCCCAGGGAAGCTCATGTCGCTCCCGCCCATATCCAGCACACGGAGCCCCTTGATAGTATCTGCTAGCTCGACAAGCGCCCCGGGGATTTTGGGGTTGCGCCCAGAATATCCTGTTATAAGCAGAGGTCTCTCGGCCCCAGCGAGGGCCCCAGCAATATTGGCAGCCGCCTTGGTCGGTAGTCCACCTAGCTCAACCGGTTCCCAGAGTTTCTGGTCGAGCGAATGCGGCCCAATGTCAGCCTCCATAACCTCTCGGGCGCCGCAGAGGTATACGGGGCCCTGGGTGTTGAATATTGTAGGTTTGGCTCAGTCAGTTATGTTGGGAATGAGAGTCGGGGATAGCTACATAAGTGGGTAGGTAGAAGAAATAATACATAGCTATCTATCTACGGGCCGTCCTCCACCTCCTCCCCTCCCGCAGTTGGCGCATTGTGCCGATTCTGGCCGTTCGATAGATAACCCGAGTCTGGTGACGTCTGATGGATGGGCATTCGAATCGGGTTGGAGATGCAGATTAAGGCGCGGGGCGGCGACCAGGAACCCCTCACTCACCCTTGGTCAATCGCGGGGTTGGATGGCCAGTAAGCCTCTAAATTCAGGGTTGTTGCTCCTCTCCCGTGCTGACAGCGACTAATCCCATGGTAGTACGATAAGGTTTGATCCGTGCTGGGACTCCCATTCCTGGGACGATGCACTCACTGGAGGTGATGACGTGGGTTGGGAGTGTCGAGTAGAAATTATGCAAGTATGTATAGACGGACTGGCTAAAAGATATTTACAACCACAGAGAACCAGCGACGCCAATGATGACAAGAGCAAGCTTGGTCTTCCTGCTCTGCCCTCCTTGACTCGCCTCGCCCTTTTCCATGTCCTGGCCAACGGTTTCACAGTCTCTCAGCTGGCCACACTAACTTGCCGGCTCGACACTCTGAGGGTTGCGGAAAATATTACTGGGATCCCACTTCTTCTTCGCCTCCCTGAGCTGGGGCAGCTTGTCTCCCCAGTAGAACTGGTTCGCAGCCTGTCTATCCAGCGTCGGATCAATGTACCCTGCGTAGGTTGTGTTAGCATTGGGCGCCCCAGCACGCACACGTCTCTGTACCTCCTCCACAAACGCCTTGGACGTGTCTGAAACCTCGGGGATGCCGATCACGTAGGACTGGTACATCATGACCTTGTCGCGGTGCGGGTATGAGTTGCCCTCGGTAAAGTCGGCCATGGCACCACCCTCCGAGTTGAAGATGAGGGTCCAGATGATGGTTCCCTTGTCGGCCTCGTCGAGGTATGTGAACAGATCGTCAACTGCGGCATCAGAGAGAAGGTCCTCCTCGCGGAACGCTAGGGACCGGCTTGTGAAAGGGTTGGGCAGCTCAGCCAAGCCCAAGCCTGCTACTTCGGCCTGGTGTGCGATAGATCCCAACCACGACACGAGTTTGAAGTCAACAACACCGCCACTCGGGATCTTGTCCTGGATTCCCGTGGCCTTGTACTCCTCTTCCGTTCCGTAAAACGTGCCTGTGATGAGGGCGCCGAGAGGTTGGGCGAAAAAGAGAGTCGAGAATCGTCGGTCCAGTTCAGGGTCTCCGGCAAGTGCTTGCCATTTCTTGAACACGCTTGCCATCTCCTTCTGAGAGCCGAAGCTAAGGTTGTATGTATATTCAACCACGTTGCCAGGCTCTGGATGGGTGTGCACCTTGAACTTGGTCACGATGCCGAAGCTGGCACCGGCACCCTTGATTCCAAAGAAGAGATCCGCATTCTCTGTGTAGCTGGCCCGTCTGATCTCTCCATCGGCAGTGACGACCTCTACTTCTTCGACATGATCCAGCGCGCTTCCCCACATCCTCGACATGGGTCCCAGCCCGCCCTGCAATGGTCATTGTCAGCAGCATTCCGATATGCTAAACGCCGTTTTCAAACTCACAATTGTCGCGTGGCCGCCGACTCCAACGCTGGGGCAGGTACCGTGCGCAATAGCCCGGGCGCCGTTGTTGTGGAGGTACGCGTCCAGATCCCGGTGACGGAGCCCTGAACCGTAGGTTGCCATCCAGGTGCTCTCGTCCATGCTGAAACTCTTCAGGTTGACCAAGTCGACTGCGACAGCTCCATCTTCACCCCCCAGTCCGAAGTTTCTGTCCACGAATAGTTAGAGACAAGGAGGAAAGCAGAGGCCGAAGGACATGCCATCTTGCGCGGGAGCGAGATCGTTCTGAATTACTTACCCATAAGAATGGCCACCGGACTTGGCCTGGATGGCGACATTATATTGCTTCGCACATTTGACTGCACCTGCCACCTCCTCCGCAGTGTTGGGGCGGATGACGGCGGCAGGAGTCACTGGAATGTCGAGGTTGAAGGGCTTGACCCAGGCCAATTGATATAGAGGATCGCCAGCAAAGCTGACACAGGTGAGCAGCCTGATGCCACAAACCGCTCTCAAACACTGCTTGAGTGACATGGCGTATGTATGAAACAAATACTACTCGGGGTAAAACATGAGAAGATGGCTTGTGCGGGTTGATTGAAAAAGAAACAATGAGCGATGGCTAGGAATAATATAGGGAAGAGAGGAACGTGAAGCGAGTGACATCGCATTCCGTTCTGGGAACCATGAACTCGACGATTTCCAGGGAAGGAAGTTCCAGGGGGGCTCTTGCGCCTGCCGGTGCCGTAGCCATATTGTATTAACAACCAATGTATAAGATCATCCTGATGTATGCTTAATGGTGCTACAGCTTGCGGATAATGCAGGGCCCTGCACTGCCAAGGCGCGTTCCTGTTTGCTCCTTCTGGTCCAATAGGGCCGTTGTCTCGGCCACTGCCTTGTTTGCCAACTTCAGATTTGGTTGTTTCGCCTATTATATGCCAATCTTTTCATCAATTTACACGAGATGTGGCAAGACACGATGTCAAATGGTTGGGACAGAGCAGAGCAGCTTAAAGTGAGTGCATTCGGCTGGTATTTTTCTACTCTGACATTGTCCTTTTCATCTTTCCCCTCCGCCTCTGTCTTTCAAGATTTCGGAGGGAACACTTGACTGCGTATTCGGGTTCAGATCTGGGTTCTGTTGTTGATGGGTTGGGTTTCACTTGCTAGGATACCCCTGTTCCTGACGGGCTGCTTGCTGCCATGAAATGTCATGCGCCCCTCACCGGACTCCGGATTGCAGGACGAAGGCTTAATCTTTTGTGTGTTTGACTGACATCTCCTCCCTCCAATGACGAAATCTTCCCAGGCGTAGCTTGGTTACACCTTGGGCATGTCAGTTGTGGTTCATTGGAGGCGCGGCCATGCCGTTGTGTCCTGTGGAAATTATGGTGCGACACACCATGAAGAAGGAGGGGATTGATGGCATGGCCTCTCCTGCTTTCATTCGTCCAGCAAACAGCCATCCATACGTAATGGCCCCCATTCACCATGCCCGTGAGCAAGGATTCGTGACTCGGAAACCTGTAAATCCGGACAGGAGGTCCAGGTCCAGGCACAGGCACAGCGACAGCGAGGGGAGGGGCTTGGCCTCCATAGCAGAAGGATGGGGGGGACGATCTAGAATGAACTCACCGGCTTGCGGGGGCCGATCATTGCCTGCCGGCTAATTGGCAGCTGTCCATTTCGGGGTAATAGACTTTGAGTGTCTTGGATCATGGGCTGTCCGCCCATGTCAGTCAGGATCAGACGATTTGGGGACCGGAGGGTTACCGGAGGATCAAGTCTGGATGGGACGGACCCTGGTGGGATTTTCCAAGAGGTGATTTGCGTCATGAAAAGAGGCTGCATGCCAGGATGAGAGCCTCTGAAGATCTCCAGTCGATTAATACCCGAGCTTGAGGCAACCCCTGTCTATATGTACATGCAGCAAAGAGAAATAGGGACACACACCTGCCAAAGTGAGTATGCTTTCTTGTTTTGTAAATGGGAATCATGAAATGGCTCACCGATAAATGCCCGGTGCAACTCTGCAAGTACCGCATTTCGCAACCCGCGGCAATGAACTGCCGGCATCTCCTGATGGTGCTGCCTACTTGCAACGAGCACTTCGTCGCTCGTAACTTAAACGTTGTGTCCCCTTGGTGCTAGACGTTGCTGTTGCTAGCCAACAGATGCATGAGTTAACAATGATACTGCCACCATGATCACTGGCCTTCGTGAATATCTGCAGATAAATGAGCGCAACGAAGCGGCTGTTTATTGTCCGATAGACTAGGTACCCGACAAATCCTAAGCGGAGGATCACGCCCAGCGCTGTCCTTCACGCCGCTTCTATCCATGTTTTCCATCCCGCCCACGCGCTAAAGACCGACTGGAATCAATTTCAGTTCCTTTTCCCGCTATACATAAATCCCAAGAACGTTTCATTTCATTCATCTGCTCACGACACAGTGACCTTGGAGGTTCCCTTGCTGTTGTATGCCTCGGTGGCAACAATTTGGTAGTAGTGGGTTCCAAGACTCATGCCCTTCGAGGCCCAGGCGTTGAAGACTGTGCCCATGTTGACCGTGCCGGAGGTGCGTTGGCTGTCTCGGATAGCCCAGTACTGCTGGAAAGTCTGGGTGCCGTCAATCGATGGCGCGTTGTATCGGGTGCTCTGGTACAGCTGGTATGTGGCACCGTCGATGGTGACAGAGCCCTTGGAAGTAGCAGACGACCCCTAGAGGAACGAGACCGTTAGGTACCAGTCAAGGCACTTCGGAGGAACAAGATGTACTTACAGGGTTGTACTCGCCGTGTGCTTCGACGACATAATACTCGATGAGCGGGCTACGAGTCCATCCATAGATGGTCAGATACTGCTTCACGTCAGCGTCATGAATTTTTCAGCCTTGGTACCCGGCGCCACTCACGCTGTTTCCGTTGTTCACGGGCTTCCAATCCGCCGAGTAGGTGATGGATCTGTTGTGCAAGTCAGAAATTTGACGTTTTAAACAGGCTGAACCGTGCCGGATCACACGCAAGATCATATCATACCGCGAAGTTCCTGGGTTCCAGCCCTTTCCGCCGACGAGATTTCCACCAGACTCCCACGAAATGCTATAGCCACCTCCATCGAGGTTGGAATAGGTCGCAGCTGCGTTGCCGTCAGACCACCAAGAGTAGAAATAACCATTGTGAGTTCCCTCAGCGTTGGGAGTGACTGCCCGGCTTTCGAGATTGGGGTTGAGACCGGGAGCTGCGGCAGTGCCCGAGATGAAGGCGCATGTTGCTGCGAAAAGGGTAGAGAAATGCATGTTGTTTGGATTGGCTGTTTATCTGTTTGTGTGCTGCAGTGGTGATCAATGTTGCTGGAGTCTCAAGATATTACTTTCCCCGACGAAGGACAAAGCCATCAATATATACTCAAACATTGCTCCCTTCCGCAAAATCTAAGGAGAGCAATTCGAAGTCAAGATACACAGCCAAGCATCTCGGTCGGCTGCTTCCGAGTTCCTAGTTGGGTCAGTTCACCTTGGGTGCCGCGCCCAAACCGTCGCTGGTGTTTCAGTTCTGAGGTTGAAACCGCCGCAACACACTGCCAGGATCCACTCGATTTCCTCGTAATTAGCCTCGACATTCGACATGATTACCAAATACGAACGATTTCGGAAATAAATAACGTGTTACAGCCGTTGTGATGGCGACAAATGCCGTTGGGGTAGTGCAATGGGCATCACGGGAAGCCGGCTTGCTCTCAATTTCAGAGCCTAAATCAAGCCAAGCCTAAATGCTTTCTCATCTCATCAAGCATTTAGGCTCGCTCCTCACAATGACACAATCTAGCCTGAATTCGAAACATAGCAGAAGACGTCAATGCGAAATGGCTGACGCCAAACCGCAGCTGGTCAAAACAGCTTCTCCAGTGCGCTGTCACCTCATTCATCCGCTCAGCAGCCCACAACAGGCTCATACTATGTACATGTATTCAGGCGATTAACCTGTGCAACGTATAGCTCCTGGCAATTCGTTTCGCGATCACGCGACTCACAATGAGCTATCATCCAGTGGCATCCAAGCTATGTTGTCTGATTGAACTCTGTGGCCCAGTATGGCTCATCTCTAAATTCCAAGGAAGAGTTTTTGAGCTTCAAAGTGTATGAAATAGATCCATACACTCCTCTCTCTGTGCTCAGTCGTCCCAAACTCGCATACGAACACAATCAATCCAGGGACAATGCGTTCACTCACTTTGCAAGCCTCAGGGCTGCTCGAGCGCTTGGGTGCTAGCCACTGTGGTTCTGTTTAGGGCAATTTTACATCCCCTGAAACAGACCCTGTCCCTGTTGTTGTCAAAAGGGAGGATGGAGCCTCGGGCCGATCTCTTAGAAACGAGTTCCTCGTACAGTCGCAAATCTGCTCAATCGTAAGCTTAGAGCAGGTGCTCGTGCCGTCATGTTTGGACTTCATGGAGAGTCAGGATCCGAGATGGTATCAGATACTGCCTCAGTTACCTGGAAGACCTCAAGGCTGCAATGCAATGCTTGCTGAAAAGATTCAGCCCGCGTCGATCCGAGCTCGGCGCACTCTGGATGCTTGACTTCGATTGCTCAAGACCAATAAAAGCAGATGATTCGGGATTGACAACCATAGCAAAGGCAGTTTGGGGAAATGACCCATATTACCACGACCTCATAGTACGGATGGGCGATCCCAGAAGCTTTGGGATATATTTTCGGCAAAGTATCGACGCGTTGGTCTGGAAATTGTACGAGTTTATCCTATGCCTGAGTTATTATCCGAGCTTGTTCATGCCGCAATTGGCAGAATCGAGCAAACTCATGGCCACAGCCAGTCTTTGCCAATATCAAGAGAGAGACTTTACCCAATGATTTTGGGTTTCCGAAGGTCGATCTGCTTTTTTCATGTTGCATTGGGATCGAAACAGGCATTAACCAGCCTTGCATGATTAATGGGATTCAGCCTAAAAAAAAGGCACGATGAGATTGGCTCCATGGGATCGCCATTCAGGCTTTGTTCGAGGAGATGAGTATGACTCCATTGGGAGCAATTTGGAAACAAGTTGTGCTTCGAATTCTGCACTGTGTCAAACCTTTTGGGCTGGTGCTCCGTTTCCCGCATTCAACATAGTATGCGTCAGTGTCCGTGTATTAAATATGAAGATGAAAAGTAGTTTTCCTATTAATAATAGGTACTAAACACAATAATAAGAAAATAATAAAGTATTCTATAATATTTAGCTTGATGTTGTGTTTATTACTAGATTAATTGTTCGAATATTATGTTAAAATTATCTTGGCCTCTCATTTTGGTCGAGACATCATAGCCTGATCCTCACTTTGAATCAGAATCTGTATCAGCCGTACTGGAGTGCGAGGTCATGTCTGACTCCCCACACAGTCCTTGCTAGTATTCATAAAAAACGAATGATTTACATTGAACACTATGTTATGTATTGAGAGGAATACTTGTCACGATTTCCATACGATACTGTACCCCCATGAAGTTATCCCACCCATGGCAGTCGAATGCCTCTTTTCTTCACTTCATCGCGCTTGGTTTCGCATCCAGGAATAAACTGCGCAGGCACTCCACCAAGTGTCGGCGTGACCTTCTCAATCAGACCAGTTTCGTTGTTGAATTTCAATTTGTCAATGGTCGTCTCGCGCATCGTGCCATTCCCATTTGGAATACCGAACCGGTGATATGCAATGTACCAGTCATCCGTTTGAGGTACGTTGATGACCGAGCTGTGCCCTGTGCCTAGAATTCCCTGCGACGTATCTTTCTCTAAAATGACTCCCTGGTAGGCCCACGGACCGTCAGGGCTGGGTCCAGTAGCATACCCAACCCGATAGTTCTCTGAACGGGTGTCGTCTATGGAGTATGTGAAGTGGTAGATGCCATCACGGTAGTTCATGAAACTTGCCTCGCGATAGCTTGTGAGGCCCTCCATATTCGCCGCAGTATCCCAGTTGACGGAGACCATGTCATCATTCAGTTGAGCGTACACGGGCGTGCCATTACCCCAGTAGAGGTAGTACTTCCCTGTGGTCTGATCGTGCCACACGTAAGGGTCAATCGCTCCTCCAGAGGTCCTTACGGGCTCATCCCCGGTAACCATTGGCTTCTCCTGGGCCACAAAGGGACCAAGCGGTGAATCCCCAACAGCCACCCCCATGACCTTGTTGGAATGCTCGGGACTGTTTCCACTGAAGTAGAAGTAGAACTTTCCATCTCGTTCGATAATTGTTGGTGCCCAGGCATTCCCCGTAGCCCAGGGGACATTCCCGTTCTCACCATCGAGCACTAGGAACGGATCTTCTGAGCGGATCCAGTCCACGAGGTTCCGCGACTTCCAAGAGTAGAACTTATTCCCACCCCACCCAGGTATCCCATCTGTAGTGGCATAGATGTAGTAGTTACAATCTCCCTCGAAGACGACCATGTTCGGGTCAGCAAAGTAACCAGGGAGGACAGCTTCATCTGAGGTGACCGGGCTCGTCTCGCCTCTGAGTGCTGCCAGCTCAGCCTTGGTAACTGGAATAACCGTCCCATGCCGGGGGCTCGAGGGGAGAGAAAAGGATTCAGGGACCTTCCAATCCGGGTTGGCAATATCAGTGGTAGCTAGGGGGATGTATTTCCGGCCCGTGTATTCATCGACGAAGAGGTAGAACTTCTCGCCGTGAACATCGTTGGGGTTAGCCTTGAAAGCTGTTGGGCCCTCCACGTTGGACGTTCCTGCATTGTGTCCAATACAGGATGCAATTGTCTTCCATCCTTCGAGAGTGTCTCGCAGTCGTGTAGAGCTTTCTTGGATGATATCAGAGCAACCGCTGCCAGTGCCACCCTCGTCCTTGGTGAAGCGGTAGTATACGCCATTTTCTTTCAGGACAGTCGTATCAATCCGGGACATGCCAGCATCCTGCCACACGACTGGCTCAGTGAAAGTAACAAAGTCGCGCGTTGTTGCATACATCATGCGATGGTAGCTCGAGCCTTCATGATTTGGATCATCTTCACCATAGAGTGAGGAAGCCCAGAAAACAAGATATGCGCCCAATTCATCGTCATAATATGCCTCTGGGGCCCAAGTATTTCCGGCATTTGAGGGTGCAACCTTGATGTGGCGCTGATCAGACCAATTGATCAGATCGTTGGATTCCCAGACTTCAAGATACTGGCTTCCTTTCCGAACCGCATCGCTCCAAGATGTTCCGCTTCCAATCGACAAGTCTGTTGCAATTAGGTAGAAAGTGTCCCCTTCAGGCGAGCGTATGAGGAAGGGGTCACGAAGACCGCCAGTTCCCTGGGTCGATTTGAGGGATGCCTGGCCATCATTCAGTTCTTTCCATGACAGTGCATCGTTTCCATTACTGGCAGCGAAGAAAATATTCTCTCCTGCGAGTGTGTTTCCCACAAAGTAAGAGAACGCGTATCCCTCGTACTCCTCAGCCTCGACGGCAGCCCGAACCTGAGTTTGAATTTCTCTCTCGTGGACCGTGCCATCGTCTTCCTCCGTTGATGCTGTCAATGTGACCTTGGTGTTGGTTTGCTGTCTGACAACCCAACCATCTTGAGAGATGATGTCGTTGTTTGAGCTAGCCCATGAAATGTTGACACCATCTGATGAAGATGGAAGATTGATATTGCCACGAATATCATCGATATTGTGTAGCTTGATTGCGTCGAGTGCAGCCTCAATCTGTTGAACACTTGCACCCTGCGTCAGGCCAAGCACGATGGCCAAGACCAGAGCAGCCCCTGGTGATACAAGGCGCATTTTCTTTTGCGACAGCAGAGGCGAAAGGCACAGTTCCCAAAATTATCGCAACCCGGTCGGCCCTCCCTCTCATAAACGCCAGGTTTGACGGCGGTGGCCTTTTAATAGGTAATTGAAAGAAAAGGCCAAGTGTAGGCCTCGGTAAAGCATAATCCGAGTGACTGGAACTAGGCAAGAGAATGGACCGAGAATTCGGCCCATCATTATGGTCTTTTCCCCTCTAGATTGGAGAGACATCCTGTTTGACTTTATCCGTTGAGCTTGTGGATTGTCAAATCTACTGGCCATGGCAGGCATAATATTCGTCTTTATCCGCAAGGTTGTGGGGAACTGGGGGGACGTTACGAAGACTAGACTTTATCCAATACGCGCCTCCAGTGGTGATGACCGTAGATATGGGGACATGGAGATCATTACATACCCAATCTAGAGCTAGGAAGGAGGTATTGGGAAGCCGGAGATGATTGCCATGATCAGTGCGGAGGTGGTAGCGGGGAGATGCCATGCGCTCGAATCAAGTGCCGAATCCACAGTAAAGGGTCGTCGGGAAGCTATTTTCAGTCTCACCTACCCACGTCGAAGGTTTTATTTCTTCTCCATTCTCCTTTTAGAACATGGACGGTGGTTCAACTAATATCTATTGGTTTCCGCTCCCAATTTTGCAGCGGTATGTCGCAAAGGCACGAGTGATCCGAGCACCAAAGCCTCCCTGCAACACAGGAGCCCCAAAATCTCCCATTATCACGTCAGCGTAACGGACAAGGCCGCAGACTAGACGGGAAGGCTCACGGGCCAGACTGTAACTTCTCACAATGTCCGGTCCGGGCCGCTATTGTGGGCCAAACCTGCCGTGCTCGGGGTCGGGAGACGGAGATGGAATCCGTGTGAGATGAGAGAGATCTGTAAGCCCGCCTGCGCTCATAAGCGTGCCCTCTCCCTTCCTGTCTTTTCTCCTTTCGCAGCAACGTGATTTGTCGTGCTGGGATCGTGGCTGCTCCAGCATGTACGATGACGCACATGAGCGTTGCTCGTTGCTGACATGTGCCTGAGCGAACAAAACCGCTCCCTGTGTGTCTCATCCTGGACCAAGACACGCAGGACTGGTGCCTAGGCGTGCTTCAATACTCGAGCCAAGGCTACTGGTCAGTCTTCGCCATCGCCCATTGCACCAGATCCTGTTTGACCTTGTTTGCTCACCGTTGGTTACAGTTTGGGTTATCTGCATCTGCCGCTTACATACTCTGACACACTGCTGTCCTTTTCCTGTACGACCTGTAAGCAGATACACATCGATGTATGCCAGTTCATCGCATCAGAAATTCATGCGCAAGCACCACTTGTGCTCCCTCCTCCAAGGCACTGCTGTATATCCCGGTCTCTCTCATGCCACAAATCCCGCCTTCAGGACCGTCGCAGCGATCTGAGCCTCTTTCCAAGCCACGGGCACACATGACGAACCCTGGCACAATGCTGGTAGTTTTCTCCATAAGCGAACGCTCCAGGCAAGGCAGCTCCAATACCACGCACCCTCCCCAAAAGCAACTCTTGTCTCATTGGGCAGACGTGCATATAATCCACCCCCAACGCAACCATCTGTCAGCTGCAGACTTGAAGCACACCCACCTTCGTCTTCCCTCCTTGGCAGTCTCTCCAATGTAGGAGGGCTGAACGGGCCAGGCCGCAGCCAGCTTGTCGTCTGACTGGGCTAAATAGGGTGGGTTTCCCAAGCAAGCTCCCCCCATATCAGGATGCACCTGATTGAAGCAGTGATAGCACTTATCTTAATAAGGTATATGCGTTGGCTGGCCATGTTGGTCTGCCTTACCGGGAGAATCGGCTCCATTCAATCGTAGTGCGTCTGTCTCGCAGGTTGGGTCGCATATGTTGGTTCGCACGAACGAATGGCGCCGCGGTTGAGGGTGTGAATCTTGCCCAGTTTGAGTCACCCGGCCGATGGCATACGTCTCCCGTCTCTACTCCTCTTCCTAACCGTACATCTTTCTCTCCCACTAACTCTTATATGGCTTAATTCCCGCGCCACGTTCGTAGTCTTCATCCCGTCTTTCTTCATCGCCATAATACCCTCTATCAAGTTCTACGCCGTTGTGGCCATCGCTCAGTTCGCAATCGTGTTGGCTTGGTTCGATCACAGCATGGCTCCTGTGCCAGACCACATGCTCCATGTCCGGAGCCACGATGGTTTGACCAGTGCCGAAATTGGTGCCATGGTAGGTGCCATCATCGGCTTCACTGTCATCGTTCTCTTCACGATCTTCTGCTGTATCAACCGTAGCCGGGTGCGCCGTCATCGCCGTCGCTCAGATGATGACGAAATCATACGAGTAGAAAAGCTCCCCAGGCATCCAAATCCACCTCTACAACACCCGCTCATGGCCAAGGTACGATGGTCACAGAGGGACTTTAATAATGTTGAGGGTGGTCTCATTCCAGGTGGCCCAAAGTACCCTACCTACCGGGCTCTGCCGATACCCAATCCACGGAACAACCCAAAGGTGACGAGAGATTATCGCAACGCTCGTACATACCGATACTACTAGGGAACCCTGGAGAACAAATTTAAGACTACAACACAAAGGGAACCAAGGGCAGGCAGTGAGATAAGCAAGCGATTTGGAGGGTTCTGCTTCATTGTCTAGCCAACTCAGAACTGGTCCCACGATGGCTATGATCGATCTTGTCTGCCCATCTCCGGGTCAGATCCTCGAAGGCGCATCTGGAACGCAGGTTTCTACTCTACTCCACCCATCACTTTTTCTATAGAGACCTTTCAAGCAATCTTTCGTACGATCGCCAAAAGGAAGCCAATACCATACGTTTCTCCTGGGTTCCAGTGGATCAACAAATTTCGACCTCCATAACTGGACTTTGGACACTCTCTGCCCTTTCTTAGGAACTTTCTCCTTGGTCCCTAAGCTTCCGAAATGCTCGGATGCTGCATGGGCAACAAGAATTCCATAAGCGAAGCAGAGCCAGTCTTTTCAATGTACATGACTATTAAAGTCGACTCAAATCCGCCCCTCTATCCTTTTTGTGGGTAATTATATAACAGAATGACGAGTGAGGAATGAAAACATGAATAAATACAAAGACATTGCAACACCCTTTACTCTCTTCATTGAATTTCACAATCGAGATATCTTTAGTGGGAAAACAAGGCATAAAAGACATGGCCATACAACCATCCTTGTATCGGAAAGTTGATTCAAGAGAAAATGAAACTTGTAATTAGAGAATGAGTCTTCGGCTTCGATGCACCTTATTGAGCACACATAGCGTGGAAGAATAATATACAAAATCGGCCAAGTGCCTACACGTATAATCCCTAAATGGCTTGAAAATAATACCCTAAATCAACAGAATAACGACCCCCGTTCGCATTTTTAGATCATCATGAGTGTGGAAGCGACCATCGCAGCAGCAACGGCGAGGGCACCACCAATGGTGACTCCGCTGGCACCGGCAGTCTTGGGTCCGCTGCTGGGGCTGGCACCGCTGTTGTTGTTTCCGCTATTACCGCCCTTTCCGGTGGGAATAGGAACAGTGCTGTTGCCGCCGGGGTAGTAAGGGCTGGAGGTAGGCTTCACACCGTCATTGGCGGTGACGGTAGGCTTCTGAACATTGCTGGCAGTGCAGGTAGGGCAGACCTTGACTGCACCACCTGTGGGCTTGGAGGAATCACCACTCTTGACAATGGTCGTGGTGATGACCCCGGTGGTCACCTTGCCGATAGGGCAGTCAACAACGTAGGCAGGGCACTTGGTGACGGTGTAGGTCTGAGTGATGGCGGTGGTGATGGTGGAGGGTCCTTGGCCGCCAGGAGCGTTCTTGGTAGGGACCGATGCGGTGGGAGCAGGGCCGGTTTGGGTCACAGGGCAGACAGTAGTGTAGAGAGCGATAGTCTCAGTCACAACCCAAGGGCCGCCGCTACCGTTGGCAGGGCAGTTGGTGACAGAGGGAGGGCACTGGGTGACGGTGCGAACCTGAGTGGTGCTGACGGTCGAGGTGGTCATGGGAACAGAAGTGGTAGGGAGGGAGGTCGTGCGAACGGAATTGATGGGAGCGGAAGTGGTCTGGTTACCCCAGAAGGTGGAGGAGAGGCTGCTGAAGCTGCTGGAGGGGGTAGTGGTGGCCCTGGTGGTCTGCTGGGAGGAAGCCGAGGACGAAGCAGCCGCGGATGAGGCACCAGAGGATGAGGAAGTGGTGGTGGCAAGAGTGGTGGCAAGAGTCGAGGAAGTACCAGCAACAGAGGAAGAAGCGGTGCTGGAGACGGCGGCAGAAGAAGTGGAGGGCTTGGTGGTGCCGAAAACACGGATATCCTTGATCTGGAAGAAGGCATTGACGAAGGCAGAAGGATTCTGGGAGATGTAGTCGATGCAGGTGGGGGCGTTGGTCTTGGCCTTGCAGCTCTTAGACCACTCGCTGTCGAAGCCAGCGGGCTCACCACAGAAGTCGATGTTGATAACCAGCTTCTGGTTGGAGAAGTGGCCGTCGACATTGCACATGCTGTTCTTCAGGTAGACGTTGGGCTGGCCCCAAGTGTCAGTATCAGGCGAGTCAGAGTTGACATTAGCTGGAGCATTGCCGGCGGACCAGGAGTAGAGCTTGATGGAGTCGCTGGTCCATTCCATGGCGTCTAGCAATCAGATATGAATTATCAGACAATGTACCAAAATTCGCAAGGTCGTGGATTACTTACAAACACCACCGTTGGCGGCACCGTAGGGAGCGGCGTAGTCATTGACCGCACACCCCTGGTTCTGGTATTGGAGTGGCTCGTTGCTGTAGGTGTTGTCGCAGTTGTCGGTCTTGACAACACCCGTCTGGCCGTCGTTGGAGATCTTGCACTGGCCATACTTGGCAGAGTTGCCGGTGTGCAGAGCAGGGCCATTGAAGGTGGCATCGTTCCAGCCCTCGTAGATGTCGATCTCGCCATCACTGTTCCAATATTAGGACGGACCATCAACGGAATTGGAGAAAAGAGGAGATACTCACTTAGGCCAGTCTTTTCCGTAGGTCCAGCTAATTTGATCCTGTCTTAGTTTCACGGGCTCTTTTCATTGAATTTGGTGCACGCGTATCTTACAAGGCAGGCCAGAGACCACAAGTGGGCTGGGGCAAGTGAGAGAATCGAGCGATGAACAGACCACGGTTGTAAGCCTGCTTGGACTCGAGACGAACACTGGGGCGTCCGGGGTTGTAGGCTCCCTTCAGAACGGAGGTGGTGTCAACACCAAGGTAGACCTCGTTGTCCTTGTACTTGGCAAGTCCCTGGCTGAGAGCGTTGTCCTTGCTCAGGTAGTTGACATGACCTTTGGCGGGATCAATGTCGTTGTAATCACCAGTGCCGAACTTGCTCTATTAACGAATATGAGTCAGCCGCTTCCTCCCCCTTCAACTCAAGTTTCAAACGTCCACAACCACTCTTGTCTTACCTCCCAGAAGCTGAACTCATCGAAGAAGTTGGTAGCATCGTAGGTCTTTTCAGTGTACCAAACCTTGGCGGCAACGTTGCCACTGAGGGCGAGGGCGGCCGCGGTGGCCTGGAGGAGAGTGGTCTTCATTATAGCGAGTGTGTATTAGTTGGATTAGGAGTATGAGTAACGACTGTATGAAGTGAGTAACGAATGACTTGGACGTGCGATACGTCAATGGACGAGCCTAAGAACGACTCTTGGGTGCGGATCCGATGAAAGATGGACACTGAGAAGAAAGAGAAGAAGAAGAACCAGTCCTCCAAGATATCCACGGGTTTTCTCTCATCAGACAGCCCCATAAGGGGTCAGGTCCTCGCCCACCAACACGGGGCTGGCTGAGTGCCTGGCGAGGCGTCCACTAGCCCATCTCATTCCGGTTCCATCACACATGGATATTATTATTGCCTCTCCTGGCTCCTCCCAGCTTTCCGGGAACGAATCTGGACCTAACACCGCATGGGGCATTGGTTCTCATGACTAGGCTATTGGAATTAGCCTCCGGTCCACAACGAAGGATAAGGTATAGCCGGCTCCTGGTCTTCTATGTTGGCGCGCACCCAAGATGAACACGGGCCAATCACACCGAATGTATCCGGTTGGAGTGGGAGTTTGAATATCCGAATGAAGAGGAGCCAAGGCCTGGAGCCGGCTTCCTGTGAGGGGATTGGGTGAGGTGGGATGGGACCATGCAGGAGCATAATATATTGGCGCCAAGAATGAACGCGTAGTATTTGTGCTTCTAAGCAAAAGACAACAAAATTCACGAAGAAAGTGAAGTTAATCGGATTCGTGTGGCGGTTGTGTTAGAATTCAGCCATCATCTAAGACATTGCAGTTTTAACCGCAGTTCTAGTTTCTGCGGCTCAAAGGGGATGTGATTTGACTCGCGTGCATCCAGCAACATGACTAGCTGGCCGCCATGTGAAAGAAGGGAAGAATGAAGCCCATCCATGCACTCATACGGCAGCTCAGCCTTCTACTATGGGCACCGATGTGCCTTCGGATGCTGCCGGATTGTCAAGAATGCTGGCACGCTGACAGCAGGGGTGGAATTATGCCTCTATTGCCATCTAAACATTGGCTAGAACAACACAAGGAATGCTGTCACATGAGCATGCTGACAATGGCGTGTTTTTCTCCCCATGATTCTTCAGCTTGCCGCGTGTGTCTGTCTGCTCGTTGACAGCGGGTCAGGCACAGAGTCATGCAGGTACACAGAACAGCAGAACAGCCACACGCAGCATTTCCTGGTAGTGGTGGATGCTTTTGGGCCGATCTGATCAATTAAGCGCCAGACTATCATTCTTAACCCCTGACTATCTGGGCCACCAGAGCATCTGAATGGGCGGGTGATGTCTAGTAGATGGGCCAAGGTGGATCGTCGATTTTGGACTATTGCCAGATGAAATAGCTTCGGCTTGATTCACCGCATTATTGAGACCCTCAGCCAAATTCCAAGCGACAGTCGAGGCTGGACTTCCTCAGCCAGCTGCAAATTCAGCCAGCAAATCAGACCCGTGCTGTGCCCTGGTCGATCTGCAGTAGATCTGGAAAAGATGCATCACCAAGTCCTGGTTCTTGGGCTGATTGATCGGCTTTGAGGATACAATTCTAATCAACATCCCTCATCTCGCATCCAAACAATAGTACAGTTGAATAGACTGGCCAGAGCAATTTCACCCTCGCCAATAGCATTTCCAATTCATCGCCACGCCATGCTATGAGTGAGGTGTTACACTATGCCCAACTTGCTCCCACACTTACTCCACAATCTACCAACTCACGCATGCCTATACACATTAATACATCACTTCATAACTTTCTTTTTTCCTTCAGCCCCCGCTCTTCGGTTTACACGGTGCTGAGCTCTTCTCCTGAGCAGCTGTGCTTCTTCTCGCGGCCGGTGGCAAGTCTTGCCCACTTGGTCAAGCTGCGGGCAATGCCACGCTTGCTGGCCGGGTTTGTGGTGGACTTCTCGCGGGGTGGGATACCCTCGGCGTTCAGCGCGAGCTCTGCCGCAGCACGGGCAGCCGCCTTGGTGTTGACGGTAATGGCCTCCCAGTTGACATTGTCCAGGTCATCGCACGCAAGATGGTAGCAGGCGTCGTTGGGAGCTCCCGCACCGGTGAAGAGGCCAGAGGAGGGAATGCCCAGCTCGAGGAAGGCTACGTAGTCGGATGATTCACCGAAGGCTCCCCATTCAGCCGGGTAGCCCTTGGAGGTCAGGTAGTCGAAGAGGAAGTTGCCGCCGGCCTTGTGCGCGTCGGTGTCGGCATAAACCTCATACAAAGGCACCTTGGAGCCGATCATATCGTAGTTGTAGTAGAATCGGATCTTATCGGCCTCATCCGAAGACAGCTGAGAGCCATAGTAGAGCGATCCAACCAGGCCGCTCTCCTCGGCTCCCCACCAGGCGAAGCGAACCTTGTTCTTGATGCCGCTGTACTGCTTGAACGACTCGGCAATCTGCAGGAGGGCGACGGTGCCGCTGCCATCATCATTGATGCCGGCGCCTTCCTGGACGCTATCGAGATGAGCACCCAGCATAATGACGTTGTTTGGGTCTCCCTGCTTGGTCTCTGAGATGATGTTCCAGCTCTCGCGGTCCTCGGCGGTGGCGTCAACGAGAAGGGTCACAGTAAGCTCCTCGCCAGCATCGACACGGGTCTTCCATGCGGAACCTTGCTCATAGGTGATGACACCTACGGGTGCAATATGACCGAAGTTTTCAGCGGCCAAGGTGGCAGCTGTGATACTGTTGCCGGGCACATTGTTGGTGAGCACAACAGCCTTGGCACCAAGGTTCTTGGCGAAACGAAGCTTGTCGGCAATGGCACACGAGCCACGCTTGACGAGAGCAATCTTGTCGGTGACATCAATGCCCTCCCACTGATCGGCATAGCAGCCCGAGCCTCGCTCATCGTCGATGGGCAACGCGACCAGGACACCGGTTGCGCCCTCCTCAGGCGTGGGGTTGTTGTACATCAAAGTTTGAACCCTGACGTCGCTGCCATCAGGTCCAGTCAGGGTGATCTTGTTGGTGGAGACGAAGAGATGAGTGAAGGGCTGGACTGTGGTGTCAAAGTGCTTGCCGAAGCGGGTGGCCACACGCTCAAGGACAAAATCCAGGGAGGCGTTGTAGCCGGGGAGACCGAACGCGCGGTTGCCACCATTGTCTTTGGCAATCTTGAGGAGGTTCCAGAGGTCGCTCTGCAGCCTATTTGACCATTGTTAGACACATTATTCCCCTAATAGTGTTACAGTTGGTGTGTTTGGGCATTCTGTGCAGGGATGGAGAATCTGGGGTAAGCGGCGGAGCGGAATCTCCCCGCCACACCCTCGCAGTTTCTATCCAGAGAATGGCAGGCCTGGTATCTTTCTCAAAGTCTGCGCGGGAATTGTCGCAATGAAGAAGGTTCGGGGATGTTTCTCACTTGTCCTCTCGGATATCAGCCTCGACCTTGTCAGGCGTGATATCGTTGGTGGCCAGAGCCTCAGCGGCCAGGAGGCCAGCAAAAGCAAGATGATTCAGCTTCATGGTGAGGTATTGCTTCAGACTTCTCAATTAGAGTCCCTGGCTGACCAAACTCGAGAGGGGACGATGGTGATCTTAAATACACGTCAAGCGTCTTGCATTTAAGAGATGCCACCCCCCCAGTGCCGACAATCGCAATTGAGCTAGGTTTGGCGTGATAGCAGGGGAATGGGACCAGGAAGATGCCAGGATTATGCTACCTATCTCTACTGGGTATGCAGGTGGTGGCGTTGACTGGGTAAGTACCCATTCAAGCAGGCTGTTGTCGGTTTATTTTTCTCCTTCATCCGATTAAGCGCTCGCGATTGCAGCCTTCATTCAAGAATTCGATGGCCCTCATCCGGCAGTCTATTATACCAACATAACATCGAATAATCGCTGACGTGCTGATCCTGCTATACTGCAGACCTGGAGGTAGAGTTCCGGATGTTCCATCTGCTTGCCATACAACGGTGTTCCCCAGGCAAACCCCGATATAGGGCATTTGCCCACCTCTTGAGTGCTTCCGTCAGGACGGACGTAGAGCCGAAAGGGCAGGTCGTGGTGCAGTGCACAGGGATAGTAGTGCTACAACCCTGGGGGATTTTTGTATAAGAATCATAAACAGCCGCAGAAAGGGCAGATGAATGCGGCTACGAACAGCTCTAACTGCATACAGGTATCGTATGAGTGGCGAATGGAAAGATATCGTATCTTTTCCAACGCACATACGAAGATTTTGGAAAGTGTTGCGCGTTCCTTGGTCAACCGCAGATAAAATACGCAACCAGACGGGACAGGTACCAGTCCATCAACGTAAGCAGCACAGTCCCTGCAGAGCATAATGTATTCAGCATAGCGTCTGGTACTTTAAAATTATGCGCAAGTCCTTAACGGAACGACGACTCCCTCGACTTTACCCACGCTTCCCGGCAGAAGCTGCGTAGGCTCGTAGAGAGGCCATAATGGCAGCACCCTCACTGATAGCCAAATCCCTTGTCTCGAGCCTGGAGCCTAACCTTGGCTGTGTTATCATAGCAAAAGGCTGTCATTTCCGCCTTTTGCCTCGTCCGTGTGCCATCACCCAACAGTAGAATGGCGGCGGCACTCATCAGTCATCAATTCACCAACGACCGGGTCCCCCGCCAAGCCACCGAAGCCTGCCTCCTGCCTGAAGCAGCAGAGGAACTTGTGGCAATTGGATCGGACCCTTTGTCGGCGATGCTCAAAGGATGCAGAGAAAGTAAGTAGTCGCACTGCAATGAAGTAGTCGAGGCCAGCAGCGATTGATAGAGTTCATTCGCGCACATGCGCAACCATGGCTGCCACCAGCCTAGGTAGATTTTAGTATGAACAATATTATATATCAGTTACACAATAGCAAGACACATGTAACAGATATACTCTGCTAGATCACATTAAATTTGGTAGAAACTATAGAGAACCTGCCCAACAGCAACAGCCCAGAAGCTCACTATTGCGTATTACCTTGGAAGGCAAAAGGCTCGCCGACGATCCAATGGCCATTCATGTTTCTTACTCACGCTGTTGGGGCAGCACCAATGACGAAAATAAACTCGAGATTGCAACGGCACAGGGCGGGCACCTCAACAATCTTTGAAAATACTAAACTACAAGTCAGTTTCCATTCTGCCATGTCCAACAGCGAACGAGCCTGGTTTGAAGCGCAGGGTACGCCGCATAGCCGCCTGCATGGCAAATCAGCTCATCGCATTCTTCGGTCTCCACCTCTTCGTGAGGACGATTCAAGTTGTGACATGTATGGATACTGCAGTACTCCGCGACGGTTGGAAGGCGCAGGTTCTGTGGCCGTGGGTTGTCGAATAATACCCAGGCTCGCTGCCGATAGAGTCGACGCAAATCGTGGGGATACCAATCGGCATCCCACATGGATTCATACATATCCTCCTCGAATTGATACATATCCTCCTCGAATTGATACATATCCTCCTCGTAATCGACATTTGTATGGACACTGGTGCCTTCGCAATACAGCAGATCATGAACCAACTGTCGGCATAGCTGGAGCCTGGTACCAGCTCTCGAAAGTCTGCAATGCTGCTGAGAAGAGTGTTGGTCAACAGGTCGAAGCCACAACTGGCCATGAAGCTGAAGGGAAGGTCACTCCATCCATAACCAAGTTCACCCATATCGCCCCAGTCTGTGCATTGGGTCCAACAATTTGGAGAGTCCCAAAATCGCCGAGCACGCAGTTTAGGGGCGTTCTCATAAATTTGGGTCTCCCACCACTTGGGTAAGGGTGCCTTGAGCACCTCTGAGATTAGCGCGCCATAGCAGGTCAAGACATACTCGCGAACACAGCCAAGCAAGCTCGACTCTCGAGGTGTCTGTGTTTAATGATTATAGCTTGACAGAACTTGCCAGTCCCAACAACGAAAAGGATCAGGTGCAAGCTGTTCAAAAGTGTAGTCAATGATGACATCACTGTCATTGTCGCCAGAGTTTATGCTCGTTTCCAAGTGGTCTTGTTTCCAGTGGTTTTCCATCATGGCGTCAAACTTGTCCCCAATATCCCCATCAAGCTGTTGCATCCGGGAATGGCAGCAAGGCGGGTGGATGCCCCCGACAGGGACCTTTGCTCCTGTCCGCGGGCCATAAATCTTGCAAATCAACTCGTACCGGATGAATGCAGCGAAGATGCGTCGTCTTTCATCAACACTCAAAGTTTTGAGGTCAAAACTGCATTCTTCGTCGTCGAACTGGCGTTGGGAGAATCCTTGTGAAAAATCAGGATGAGCCCAACTTGGAAAACGTCGATAGGACCGGCGAACACGTGCACCGTTCGCTTTGCCGAGACAATCCTCCACGTACAGCGAGATGGGGCCGAAAAGTACGACGAGGGATATGCGTTCCTCGTCGCTGTGGAGTCTCAGAAAAGGGTTTGGAAGCTGTTTGGCTCCCCAGGCGTGGAGGTGTTTCTCCACGGCAGTGACTCGCTCTTCTGGTATGCATTTTGTGACGTCTGCCTCTGGAAAAAGTATAACAGCCATGATATCTTCGATGAGACTATAGTCGTTAATGAGGATATTTTCATTATGCTTGCGTTCAATGTAATCAAGGTGATTGGAATATACCTTGGACATGGTTGGAGAGGCGCGAGATAACGAAGAACATAGGTCAAGATCGTTAGTCAAGACCAGAATCTTGAGCTGAATTTCCACAGGGAGTTTCTGAAAAGGATCCATGGTTGTGCTAAATTTGATGGTGTTAAATGTGGACGTGTACATCAATACCCCTTAACCTCTCTCTTGGGGGGACGTAGTTTAAGTACTTGGAGGACAAACTTTATTAGCATCCCCTGGAACCTGACTCTGATAAAGTTTGAGGCTCGATACCTTCTCACATCACCGTCGGGAACTTCACAGCAAATTGGTTTTCTCGCACCAACCTTCCGTCTTACCCACACAGCACCTAGCCAGTCACTACCTTAAGGCTGGTGAACTGAAGAGCAGGCTGTAGTCTTTAGCCTCTGACAGAAAATGCATCATTTCCAAAACACCTTGGATTGAACGAATTAGTCCTTTTAGGCCGTTGTGATAGCTTCACCTTTTGAAGCACGCCCTGCTTCAATACGTCGTTTTAGCGTGCGTCCCCGCTGTACAAGACTGGTAGTACCATGCCTAACCACATAAGACCTACTCGGGGGCTGAGTTGACCACTTTGGGGTCCATTAGAACATACGCGCAACCATTGAGATTCGGCGAGAACCATTGGGATTCGGCGAGAACCATAGGGTTCGGCGAGCTCGGGAAGTCATTTTACCCAGCGGCTGTCCATTAAACCCACATACTTACATGTACCGACATGGATAACTCGAGCCTGCTGAAGCTAGAAAGTGGAATAGTCATCTCAGAAAGACCACCGGGAATGCTTTTAGCGGGGTTCTTCATTGTACTGAGGAACATTGTTTCTCCGTGTTTTTTTTTTGGTATTTCGCATGTGTCAAGCCGTTCCAAGCGACGATCCAAAGCGTGTGTTAAGAAAATTTTGATCAGAAGCAAATGACATGGATGCGCCCGGCAGCCTACGTTTAGTGTCGGCTTTGGCGCGGGGCAAACCAGAGCCAACCTTGATGAGCACCATTCAGCCCCTCCTGGTGTGATTACATTTTCTTTACGTATTCGTCCGCGCCCCCATCCTTGTCCGGACCTGTATCACGAGTTTTTGCTTGCTTGCTCGCCATTTGTTTTTCTCTCGCTTGTGCAGCTTGAGTCTTCTTCAATTCTTCTCCCTCACCCTCATCCTCCCCCCTCCTTCTCTCCCGCCCCATCATCCAATCCCAGTGGCATCCACGCGTCACCCATCATGGCCGATCTCCCTCACACGCCTCGCCAGGCCGCCACCGTCCTCTCGGCCACTGAACTAATTGGAAACTCGCCTCTCGTGCGTCTCAACAAGCTTCCGCAGTCCCTCGGCATCGAGGCCGACATCTACGTCAAAGCCGAATTCTTCAATGCGGGTGGTAGTGTCAAGGACAGGATCGCCCTTCGCATGGTCGAAGAGGCCGAGAAGAGCGGCCGCATCAAGCCAGGCGACACCCTTATCGAGCCTACGAGCGGCAATACGTACGACTCTCTTCCCCCATTTCCATTGCGCAAGCTCCTTCAGGCATGCTAACTGATCTTCGCAGCGGCATTGGCCTAGCTCTCGTCGGCGCGATCAAGGGTTACAAGACCATCATCACACTTCCCGAGAAGATGTCCGCCGAGAAGGTCTCCGTCCTCAAGGCCCTGGGCGCGACCATTATCAGAACGCCCACTCAGGCTGCTTGGGACGCTCCCGAGTCCCACATTGGTGTCGCCCGCCGCCTTGAGAAGGAGATCCCCAATGCCCACATCCTCGACCAGTACAACAACAAGGACAACCCGGAGGCCCACGAATTCGGCACTGCTGAGGAGATCTGGACCCAGACTGGTGGGAAGATTACTGCCGTTGTTGCTGGTGCTGGTACTGGTGGCACCATCACTGGTATCGCTCGCGGCCTGAAGAAGCACAGCAAGGACATCAAGATCATTGCTGCGGATCCCCAAGGCAGCATCCTCGCTCTACCCGAGAACCTCAATGATGAGCACATGAATGCGCCGTACAAAGTTGAGGGCATCGGATATGATTTTATTCCCGAAGTTCTCGACCGCGAGATTGTTGACAAGTGGTACAAGACCGATGACCAGGAGTCTTTCTACCTCGCCCGTCGCTTGATCGCCGAAGAAGGTCTGCTCGTTGGCGGCAGCTCAGGGTCCGCTCTGGCCGCCATGGTCCTGGCCGTTAAAGACTTCGGATTCAAGAAAGGCGATGTCGTTGTCGTTGTGCTCCCCGACAGCATCCGCAGCTATCTCTCCAAGTTTGCTGATGATGACTGGCTCGACGCCAACAACCTTCTGCCCAAGAGCTCCGATGCTAGCAAGGTCGCCCCAGCTCACAAGGTATCCTCAGACCCGTACAGCGGGGCCACCATTGCCTCTCTGCGTCTCAAGCCCGTCACTTCCATCTCAGCCACGGCGAGCTGCTCCGAAGCCATCGAGACCATGCGTGACAAGGGCTTCGACCAGCTCCCCGTCCTCTCCACCTCGTCCAAGCTGGTTGGTCTGGTCACCCTCGGTAACCTCCTCAGCTACATCTCACGAGGCCGCGCCACTGCCGACAGCCAGGTCAAGGATGTCATGTTCGACTTTGCGCGCATCGACGAGATCATTACCGACCCTCGCCAGGGTACCGCTTCGGCTGGCAAGAAGCGCAAGTTTGTTGAGATCACCCTTGACACCCCCCTCGCCGAGCTCAGCAAGTTCTTTGAGTGGAACAGTGCCGCCGTGGTCACCGAGAAGGCTGATGATGCCACTCTGTCCAAGCCCATTGCCATCGTCACCAAGGTCGATCTCCTCACCTGGATGGTGAACAAGAAGCTATAAAGTTCGGGCACTTATTCTTCTTTTCTTTCATTTAAGTCTTCTTTTCTACAGTCTCATCTGTGGAGTGTTTGCATTGGAGCGGCTCAGCATGTCTCTTGGCGTTAAGAATTAAGGTTTGGTATAATTTTAGATCGTGAGATGACACGGTTATGTGTCATGTTTCTCCTGGGTGGATGGGTTTGATAGAGAAAAATCACCTTACCGCTGACACTTCAACTTGATTCAACATGGAGAATGTTGCGAAAAACTTTCAACATTATTTGGAATTAATTAAAATTAAGAGATAGCATCAATAAACCCTAGCTTTCTCTTTCCTTTTTTTGATGCAATCCTCAACACGTAAAACGTCACACTCGTTGACAATTGTTTGTCTCGCTCATATGCGTTGAGCAATCCACCACCACCACTTTTCAGCCCCAGGGCCGTCTCCAGTGACATTTCCGGGGAGTACATCAACGTCGATTTCGAATTCTTGCATTTGTTTGAATGAGAACTTCTCGGAGCCGTACTCGCCTAGCCAGGCATCCTGCTCCTCGGAACCAACGTCGTCTGTGCCCACGCCTGAATCCAGCAAGCCTTTGCTCCTCGATGAGCGAATGCGCGACAGCTCCGCTTCTAGGTTGGTCTTAACAAGGGTCGAGGGGAGTGCAGTGAAGAGGTCGACCTTGTTGGCAGCAATGAGAACGGGGACAGGCGTGTTGTTCTTCTTGTTGTTGGATTTGTCGCTCACGCGCTTCTGGAGGAAGAGGAGGATATCGTAAAGGTAGGAGGCAGTCGGGGCAAGAGACTCGGGCTCGCCCAGCGCGGCAGCATCGACCATGAAAACAATGGCCTTGAGCCTCTCGCAGCGGTTGAGTCGCTCCATGGCGACATTGCGTAGCTTGCCGTGGCCTGGTGTGTCGATGAGGAGGAACTTGGTGTGGGTGCCGGTCGTATCCTCGTGGTTCTTGTAGCTGTACTTTGAGCTACTATCCGTGGAAGCGTTGAGCTCGACGGAGTGTGCCTTTTGGGAAGTATGCGTCTGCGAAGGCGAATCGCCACGCTCGAAAAGAGTCATCAAGGACGTTTTCCCCACGCCATCAGGGCCGACGAGAGCCACCTGAGGGTGGATGATGTAGGATGTCGAATTGGATAAAATAAAGTGGAGGATAATCGGACCGCCGAGGATCAAGACAATGGCGATGATGGCGAGGGTATAGGAGGGCGTGAGTGAGCTCTCCACGAGAGACCAGAATGTGGGAGAGGGCATTGCGGGCGTCTCGAGGCAACAGCCAGATTTTTTTGGATCCGCGGCGGTTATGGCATGCGATCGCGGTCGAGTACGGCCGGGCAATTGTGTTCGGGATGTTTCCGGGAGTCGAGGTGCCTCTGTTTCGTAGTTGGGCAATCTACCACGGAGGGAAGATCTGGCGAGTTCATAAAGTGGAATTAGAATATTACCAGGTGGCGTCACATGGATGGTTGTGTTTGCGCCGACTCCAGGTGGGGAGCGGGCCTACCCTATATTCGCTGTTCTGCCCTGTATTGGAAATCTTGTATGGGAAAAAGCAAACGATGTGACAAAACGCTGATATATTTGTAACCACGTAGGTTTTATATGTTGACTATTGTCTATGTGTGTGCTTTTTAATTTTGATTCATGTTTTGTATTTCTCTTCCGGGCCTTCAACCTGAACGCAAGTCGAGGAGGTTCTACAAATTGAAGCAGGTAAATGAGATGAATGCCGATCTTTCCTATCGTATTCGATTTCGCAGGCGCATCTTGACCGAGTAACACAGCGAATTGACCCCTGTACGATTCCATGTCATGCTCGGAAACTGGCAACCAACAGTGCCAGGGCCATGAAATAGGCATCATGATGCGACGCTGGATCTCACAGTCAACCTACCTGCTGGTGACCCCTAGTGTGCTAGCACGTACTGGCCACTCTCCGTGGTAAGGCGTGAAGCCACACCAGCTGCCAGCATGAGACCGGGAACGAAGGAAAGAACGGCTTCTAGGAAGCCACATCTGGCGGATAACTCGGATCGTGGCTGAGCTAAGCCGCATATAGTACGCCATAGCCAATTAGCACGGCGGCTGACTCTCACGCACATCCTGGTCTGCTCCAACCATCCCCATCACACCAACAAATTTCAGTGGGGGGAGAGGTGAAGCACAGCGCTGTGTAGTTACCACCCTTACCTTACGTATCTTCGTCTGGCGATGCTGGAGCTTGTTTCCCTTGCCTCTAGACTCTAGAGCATCTTAGCTCCCCCAAGCCAACTCTCTTCCACGCGTCCTTACCCTGGGCGAGATATCCACTCCAAACCAGCATCTCGTACTCAACGCTCCGTCTCGAGTTTTCCAGACCTCCTTTTCTTTTAGCTCCTCTCTTTCTTCTTGGCTTGACTTGGGACTTACGTCGAGCACCGCCGTGGCATCCGTTCCTTCGTTAATGACTAATTAGCCTACTGCATTTCTAGCGACTCTCCAATCCAGGGTTATTAATTGGACACTCCCGTTGTCTGCGACCCCCGAAAACCAATCCCGCGAATAGCTCCCTCGCTCATTTTCGACGTCTTGTCCCAGCGCATATAGGCCGTGGCCTTTGAACGGCCTCCAGCAGTCAGCCTTGTATTCCCGTCTTACCCGCCACCATAATTGCAAACCCCCGATCATTGAAACGGTTGGATCGTCGTCGATCGATCCATGGTTGCCCCTACCATCGAAAGCAGCAAAGCTGCCCCGAAGCAACCAGCAACCAAGTCGGATGTTGCGGTGCCGAAGCTTAATAGCGACATGGAAATGGGGGACCTACCTGCTACCGACCAGGAGCAGGTGGGCGACAATGATGATATCATGCAGCTTGCAAGAGTAGGCGATATTAGCGGCATGGAGAAGCTCTTCGAATCTGGGAATTACGATGCGACTTACACCGACGATGAAGGCATCACGCCTCTACACGTATGTTCGAGCCCTCCCCTCTACGGTATTATCTTCTTTCGGTGTCGTAAGAATTCGCCGGTGGAATGCTAGAGAAACTGACAATGGACTCTGGACACAGTGGGCCGCGATCAACAACCAGTTTGCCATGTGTAAATTTCTGATCGAGCACGGCGCAGAGATCAATAGAAAAGGTGGCGAGTCCGTCGCAACACCTCTGCAATGGGCTGCCCAGCGCTGCCATTACTATACAGTCAACCTGCTCCTCCAGCATGGTGCCGACCCCCTCATCACCGATGCCCAGGGCTACAACACCCTCCATATCTCGACATTCAATGGCAACGTCTTCCTGATTACTCTGCTCCTGCACCAAGGCATTCCCGTCGATGTCATCGATTCGTATGGACATACCGCTCTGATGTGGGCTGCGTACAAGGGTTTCCCGCAATGCGTCGATGTATTTCTACGATGGGGCGCCAGTGTTGAGGCTACCGACGAGCAAGGATTCACCGCGCTGCACTGGTCCCTTGTTAAGGGGAGTCCGTTCTGCATTCTCAAGCTTATTGAGTATGGGGCGGACAGGTTTGCGAAGACAGAGGCCGGCAAGACCCCAGCCATTACTGCTAGCGAGCTGAACACGGAAAAAGCATGGCATTCGGCGTTGAGGGGATGCGGGTATGACGAAGATGGGCATCCGATATCTCCTCCGTGGCCTGGCGCGTCGTACTTTTTGCAGGACAAGAAGGGCTTCATCCGCAGGTTCACATATCTCTGTCCCTTCGTCCTTGTTTGGGCTGCGATACTCTGCCTTTCAGCCTTCCCAATCTTCATGGGCCTTCCACTAGCAGTGGGCGTGGGTTTTGGCATACAGTACGCCGCGCAGCGCGTATTGGAATATGCGCCTTCATCCATGGGCGCATTTCACAAGACGGTAAGTGTTCCTCTCTGCGTTCCGCATCCCAGATGGCCATTCTGTCGCTCACAGTTCATAGCCCTGGCTTGCAGGCATCTTCTCAGCGTCACTGTTTCTCGTCGGGCTTGACTGGTTATTTTTTGTGCTACCCAAGACAGTGTTTTCTCACGACGAGTTCAAGCCCCATCTTCTGCTCAACTTGGTGTTTGCAGTTCTTTTTGGGTTGACAACATACTTTTATGCCTCTGCAATGATTTTTGAGCCAGGCTTTGTACCGAGGCTCAACGGCATCGCGGAGCAGAAGGCCGCCATTGACGAGCTGCTTAAGCTGTGGAAGTATGATGAGTACAACTTCTGTGTGACTTGTATGATCCGCACACCACTCCGAAGTAAGCATTGCAAGGCCTGCCAGCGATGTGTGGCAAAATATGATCAGTAAGTTATTGTCGGGCTGCTTGTTAAGATGTTGAGCACTTCGCTAATTAGACTAGCCACTGTCCTTGGGTATACAACTGCGTTGGAGTCAATAATCACAGGCACTTCTTTTATTACCTTGTGTTCCTCGTAGGGGGCATTCTCAGCTACGACTGGCTACTTTATCATTGTAAGTTGATTTTCGCTCGGCCTTTTGTCTCACAATGTGGGGAAATTTCAACTAATATACCCAAGACTTCACTTTTCTCTCGAAAACGGCCCCCGACCAGTGCAATTTCCTCAGCCCTAATCTCTGCAAGTTGGTTAATGCGGACACCTTCACCCTAGTCCTCGCTATTTGGGCCACGCTTCAACTTCTATGGGTTTTTATGCTCTTATTTACCCAATCTATACAGGTTGCTCGTGCCATGACCACCTATGAGAACATGTACGGTGTTCGAGATAGCCCGGTTACTTTGGCCGTCACATCCACGGGGCAACCGCTCAATCCTACCCTTCCAACTACTCCCTCGGATAGCACAGGTGCTGGACATGGACACAAGCACAAGGGAGGCAGACTCAAGCAATGGGGCCGCCTTCTTGGTGTTGATCCGTTCCTCGAGACGATTGCTGGTCGTGGTGCCGCCACTGGCAAGAGAAAGAAGAAGAATCCTTATAGCAGAGGCTGCATCGCCAATTGCAAGGACTTTTGGCTTGATCCAGCCCCGGTGTTTGGCCGGAGAGAGAACGGCATTTCAGCCCTGGGTGGTGACCGGGTCGACTACACAGTCATGTACGAAAGCCCGACGCTGATGCAACTGACGGGAGTCCGGGGTCGCGACGGGTACGAGGCTGTTGGAACCGAGGAAGTATAATCGACCGGCACCGGGTTGACACCACCGGATGTACATTAGAATATCGCTTGCTACTGTCTGTTTTCTTTCGGTCCATATGGCTATGGTCTATGTTTGTCTAATGGGACAAAAAGCGATGTATACGTCATAATACGCTTGATGAAAGAGAGGCGTCTGGAATACAAGTTTTGGGGAAGGCAACGTGGGAGTTTTTGCGTTCACAGGCGGACAGGAGGAATATATATATATAGACGAATAATGATGTCTACGGCCGGCATACGGTCCTTTAACTACCTATAGAATATTGGAAATGCCCCTTTGCATTCCGCCTGATATTTCCTTCCTTGATTGATTGAAAACATGGCCCCTCGAGGGAGGAATGTATAATGGCGTTTGCATCTCAGTCCAGTTCAGCTGTATACCACCTTACCTACGCTTCTTCTCATCGTCGGGTATAATTGGAGCGGAGCCAGGGCAACGAGAAGTATATTGTTTTTCACGTAATGATAGTAGTAACAGCCGTCGAAAATCCGGTCTGGTAGGGACTTGATTTGAATTTTAGTCTCTGGTGTTATGGGAAAATGGGTGTATCTACGATGTCCTGGTGTTGACCCTTTGGGGGAAATAGCGCACAGGTCGCTTCTGGTTTTCAGCTCCTGCATGTAGCTTGTTCCATGACCACTTGAACACGAGAACCTGCAGAATTTTCACACGTGGAAAGGTAGACGGGGATGCATGAGCTGATTCCGAAAGGTCTATGGAGTTATTGCAGCTGACTCGCTTGACCCTGAGTATGCAGAATAGGTGCAACAGAAAGCCTAGGCGGAGCGGGATATTGCACTATTATCTCAGTTGAATTCTATTGCCCCTTATATCAGCCTCACATCTCAGAAAGGCGATGGCCATTTTAATCTATACGCTGATTTCAACTGGAGGTTTTTCAGCATTGGTATCCAGCCCTTGGGCTAAGTGGTTTTTGGGCTGTTAGAATATTCCTTTGGCTATGTTCGATTCTAATTAGATACACAGTTTGTAGGTCTGGACGTACTTCTCTTGTTAAGTTACGTACCACGTGTACTGGAACACTTCTCAATATTCTGATCCTGCAACATGTTATTTGCCACTTCATAAGAAATCGCTCA